CGGGCTCATCACCTTCAGTGCCATGCGGGAGGGAGGCAGCAGGGCGGAAGCTCTCCCCAGGGTGCCCGTGGGTGGGAGCTGGTGGCCTGGACCGGAAGGGAGCTGAGGGATTGCCCCGAGGCCCTCCTGCGGCCAGGCCCACGGGCAGCGCCCAGGGCGGAGCAGTCTTTCCCCTCTACCGTCCCCAAGCCTGTCCCGCCTCAATAAACACTCAGTGGGCGTGGAAATGTGGCCTCTTCCTGATTTCTCTTTCACCATTGAGAAACCGAAGCTCAGAGGTGGCATCAGCAGCCCGTGTGGGATGGCACAGGGCCCGCCTGGCTGCAGTGGACACCAAGCACAGGCCCAGGCTTTCCGGTCTTAGCAGGGACAGGGACTCCTGGCCTGGGGGCTGCTGTTAAGGGACCTGCTGCAGTGTGGGGTGAGAATGCAGCCACGGTCTGCAGGGCCTGAGCCCTAAAGTTCTCCCACTGGGGGCTGGTGAACTACAGGCTCTTGAAAGACACACGTGTCTGTTGATTTCCACAACTTCTGATCCCCTTCGTCCCATTCTGTCCTGTGTTTAGTAAGAGAAAACATCAACAGACATTTTTTTCAGTTTTCCTGCCCCCTTACAGGATGCAAGTGTGCCTGCTTTGCTGGCTAGTGCTGGATATTAAATGAGCTAATATGCAAGCGCTGACAGTAGACCTGGGCCCTAGAAATATCAGTTACTACTCCCGTGAAGCCCACATGTGCCGCGGCAGTCATTATCCAGTCATAGCGCTAACATTTCACGAGACCGTCTTCCATGTATAAAACTATTTCACCTTGGCTACAAGCCTGTGAGGAAGGCACCATTATTTCTCCCCACTGTGCGTGATGAAACCGAGGCCCAGAGAGGTGTGGCAACTGCCCTGAAGTCACACAGCCAGTGAGTGACGGAGCCGACAGGCTGGCAGGCCCAGCTCATGACACCCCACCACCTCACCTGCAATCGGGGTGTCACCTTCCTCCTTCCTGCCTCTCCCAAGTCCATTTCTCTAGTCGTGGGCAGGTCTGAGTGGGAGGCGTCACCAGCCTGGCCCAGGAGTCTCGGGCCTTGTTTCTGGGCAGCCCACTGGCCACGGGTCAGCCCGTCCTGAGTCAGCCTCCCGGCCTCCCGTGCTGTGGCCGAGCCCCAGGACTCCGCCTCCTCACTCTTGCTCTGACCCCACCTCCCCACGCCAGCCCAGCCAGGGGCCCAGAGGCAGCCGTGGGTATTAGGAGAAGGTGACCGCGTCGGGACAAGGCTCGAACCTCCCGGGTCCGGGGCCAGCGCTGTGTGTGGTGGGCTTTGTGGCTTCGGCTCTTGCGTCTCTGTGCCCTTATCTGGAAAGTGGGGAGAATGACCTCACCTCCCAGGGCCGTCTCCGGGATCAAATGAGCTCCCACCCAGGGCCTAGGACAGCGCCTGACACTTGGCTTAGCTGAGTGGTTTTTATAGGCCTTTTATTGCGGAATACTTCACAGAAAAGCCGCAGCGTGGCACAGCTCCCTCACCTCGTCGCCCGCTCCCTCTGTTGCTAACACCTTGCATCACCGTTTTACTCGTCACAGCAAAGACCCCTGGGCTTGTGACCAGGAGCTCAGCGCTGGGCGTGGCCTCATCACTGCCCCCGACCTGGTCCTGCCCCGTTTCTCCCCGGGGGGCTCCTCCTTTGCAGTCGTGGTATCTCCTGCGCCTACCCCCGGGGAGGGACAGCGTCTCAGGCTTGCTTGTTCTGGGTGACAGTTTGAAGGAATCATCCTAGAAGGACTTTAGTTTGGGTTTATCTGTTTCTCTGAACCAAAGGTCTGGGTCGGGGGAAGAAGCCACAGAGGTGAGTGTGGGCCACGCGACACCAGCCCAGACGTGACCTTCCTCGATGGTTAGGGGGTCGTGCGTGGGCATTTCAGGGGTGAAGTGACCCCTGTCCTGTCCATGCTCTGTCTCACCCAAGCAACTCACCTAGTCCGGTCCACCCTGGGTGGGGGCGCCTGGGGGAGGAGATAATAGTTTATTTGGGATCTTCTGGACAGAAAACTTGTCTCTTCTCTCTTGTCTCTTCTCTATTTGTTTATTTATCTAATCAGGTACATTTCTCCAGCCATTTATTTCACGGACTTAACATCGTGAGCTCTTTCCTCACTTTCCGGCATTATCAGACACCCGGTCCTAGAACCAGACGCTTCTCCCAGCAGCCGTCATGGCTTCTGCTGGAGAACAGTATCATCAGCATCGGGATAGTAATATTACCAGCATTAGCTGGCTAGTTTCTGCCCTGGGAGCTTCCCCGACCACCCCGTGCCCCGATGCTCTAGTTCCAGGCTTTCCCTGGCGGCTTGCTCCTCCCACGAGAGCTTTGGAGGGAAATGCCTGGCCCTGGACTGGAGCACCTGGCCTGGGAGCAGCCTCTTTGGGTAAAGAGCAGAATCAACAGGCAAATAGTTGGCACAAGCTCGAGAGCAGGAGTGGGGCCCCGGGCAGGAGGGGATGCCGCCCCGCCCTGGGCAGCCTCAGGCTCCTGGGCTGCAGATGGCCGGCTGCTCCCTGGGAACACGGTGTCCCTGTGCCCCTGGGGCGGGGTCGCTCCCTCGCCTAGCCAGCTGCTGGCTGGGGCTGGTTAGTCCCGCTCTGTTCTCCCTGGTGGCCACAGCCCTGAGCCCACACAGGACGCAGACCAGCAGGGCCGCCCCAGCTCCCTCCCCTCCCAGCCTGCACCTCATCCAGGGCCCTCTCTCCACCCCACTGCCCTCCGCTCAGCACCCCATAAAGTCTCAGCTCAGGCTTGCCAGCTCCAGGAACCCTTCCCTGACCATGCTAGGCCTTCACCCCTAGGGGGAATTAGGTGTCGTTCCTCCACACTTATCTCAGGATGACCTTATCAAGTACGGCAGTTTATCCAGCAAATATTTACTGAGTGTCTGTCTGCTGTGTGCCAGACCGGGCAGAGCCGTGAGCGGCCAGTGTCTGCTGACCAATCAGTATGCGAGGCATCCGGCCCTCACTTCCCGTCATCTGGGGAAAGCCGGGCCCAGAGAGTGAACCGGCGGCTCCCAGGTCGCCAGGTAGTAAGAGCCAGCACCGGGCTAGAAATCCAGGTGGGCTGGGTGCCCGGCCTGAGCCTCGGCTTCCAGTTCTTTCTCCCTCTAGACACTGGGCTTACACTTGAAAGCAGGAGGCAGTGGGTGCACAGTTATATAAAGGTGCTGGCAGACA